CGCGCGAGAGAACGTAATCTTTTAGTTAAGTCGGTTTGAACAATCCGGATAAGCGCAAGTAAGTACCATTTTGATTAGCCGTCGTACCTACAATGACTGTGCACTGTGTAACCAATGAGTGACGTATACGCGCGAGAGATCACTTCCGGCGCTTGCGTAAACTACGCCAGAGCGCGTACACGACTGCAACGGCTGGACTTAAAAATCATCATATGTGTTCTACTGAGGAAACAAAGTCACCTACATCTTGGATGCCCTGGGGGTAAGCAATTTACATTTTTGGGTGAACTATCCCTTTAAGTGTCTGAAGAACCTTTCTGTTTCACAAAAGCTTCTTTGTGGCGAAAGAAGGTTCTTCAGATTATAAAAAGCTAAGAGATGTTCTTTGACTGATTGGTTCTTCTATGGCATCGCTGTGAAGAACCTTTTAAGCACCTTTATTTTTTAAGAGTGTAGGTATGTTTTTGGAGTTAGTGTTGTACCTGGTCAGTCTTGGTGCTGCTGCGCTGTATGATCTCGATGTCTTCGGTGCAGATGAAGCCGTTCGTCTGGAGATTGTCCAGCATGCACTGCGTGTTCTTCACCTGCTCCACCAGCAGCTCGCGGTGTGACGTCAGCAGCTTCAGGTGAGACCCCTCACTCCTGTAAGAGCCCATTTTACCTGCTTAGCGCTAGACCACCAGCCCGATATATTTAAGAAAGTGGAGCCATCTCAACTTCCTCGCGCTAAAGAAAACGAAAGAGTCTGACTCTGCGAAGCTTAAACGGACTACTGAGTGTTGTTTACTTGGTTCCGCACCTTCCATGTTAACTAGGAAGTGAAACTAAAAGATGAAATTTGACCCGGATTTGTGAAAACACCCTGTTTGTGCCGTGTAAACCCTAGTAAAAAAGTAATACATTTATTTCATACCAAGTATAGTTCAAATCTATTAACATATTTACTGAAAGATAACTCGAGACTTACTGGTATAAAATTTTTAATGAAACTTTATTTGGAGTATTACATTTGTGCGCAATGCCCATTTATTATTAATAAAACTAAAATGTGTTTTAACGTCACTTTTGATGAGGATCGTGTAATCTTTGACGTATATCATGCAAAATATTTAAGGTGTAGCCTACCTTAAGTAGCCTAGCCTATACTTGCAATAGTTCCACTTTAGCACAATTAAATATACTAAGTATGTCGTTAATTGGACTTCAGCACTACTTTCTCACAATTAAAGTGCATTAAGTACAAAATTAGTTGTTCCAATTTAGCAGACTTGAAGTATACCTATAACTGTTTATTAACCGCTAGAGCACCAAAAGTTATGGAATGCAGCTTTAAGTACATAAATACGAAAATGTATTTGTCGTATACTTTTGTTTGTATACTACATTTAAGTAGATTTATTTTTCACTAGGGAAGGTTGTTTGAATATGAGTTGTGTGGCGAGGTCAGAGAAATAAAACGATAAAACAGTTAAGCTAACCTTCAGTCAGTCATGAGATTTAACGTTGGTTATGTATTTTATGAGCTGCTGGAATTACAGGCAAAACTGGTTACATTTTTACTAAACTTTACTAAATGTGGTGTTTATACCCTTACAAAAATGTACCACTGTAACTAGTTTCCAAGAAGACATCATATTTAACGTCCAACCCTGCTGAAAAAAAACAATAGAAACCATCACAGAATTTGTAATGCTTTTACTGGTTATAATGGGACTTGTATTGGTTTTAATGGAAAGTGTAACGTAATTGGTCGCCTTCTATTGGTGGCTTGTTAACACCACTAAATCCTAAACGCTCTACGGAAAACAATTTGTTAATGGTTAAAAGTTGATGGTTTGTAATGTTTGTATTTGTAGTGGAAACCATTACAATTTCTTTGATGGTTTGTATTGTTTTTTTTCTCAGCAAAACAGAACGTTGTCCTAATGTTCTTTTAAAACAATTCAAAACCTTTCAAGGGAACGTCTCACAACTTTTAAGTCGGTGTTAAGTGTTAAGACAAAACATTACTTCATAATGTTTATATAATGCTCTTATAACTTTATTAATATTTTGTCATAACATTGAGAAAACATTCTTAAAACAGCATTCCTTGAACGTCTTCATGATGTTATTTTTACTTGATGAATGTTTTTAAAACATTGAAATGTCAACATTCTCGGAACGTCCTTGTTCTTGAACGTTCTTTAAGAGATTCTAAAGATTCTCAAAATGTCCTTATGATGCTATTTGTACTTGAACTTTCCAAAAAAAAAAAAAAATGTTAACCTTTAAATAACATTCTAATCTCAACAACAACAAAAAAATAGGTATTTTAACGTTCTTAGAATATAAAAAATAAACATTTAAATAATGGTATATTTTGGGTGGTGATAAAGTTAGTAGAATGTTGTAAGAAACGTTTTTGTAACCTTTAAATAATGTTCTAATCACAACAAGAAAACTGGACATTTTAGCGGTTTTAGAATATTAAAAAAACGTTCAAATAATGTTCTATTTTGGGTGATGAAGATAGTAGAATTTTATAAGGAACATGTTTGGAACCTTTGAAAAACATTACAACCTCGGCAAGAAAACTGGACATTTCAACATTTTAGAAACGTATCAAAATATTCCCATGTTTTTATAACCTAAATTTGGTTCCTGGATAGCATTTGTTTATGCCAAGGGTGTAGGTTTGATTTTGGCATTGGTGGGGCATAACTGCAGAGAACAGACATTTAATTGTTTAATCAAAATTATTGCTAGGGACAATTTAGCATTTGCTGGACATTGGTAGGGACATGTCATAGCATCTCTACTAAACTCTACGCCCTTGGTTTATAAAGTATGAGAACTTGCCTGATGATAACCGTCTTCAAAAATATTTTTTCTGCATAATGTCTTGTGTTAAAATATAGGATTGCAACCATTTTAGCAGCCTGATGGCAACATTAACTGGATAGTTCACCCAAAAATGAAAATTCATTCATCATTTACTCACCCTTTCTGAGTTTCTTTCTTCTGTTAAACACGGAAGAAGATTTTTTTGAAGAATGTTGTTAACCAAACAATTGACGGTAGCCATTGACTTCCATAGTATGGAAAAAATATTATGGAAGTCAATGGCTACCATCAAATCTTTCAGTTTCATTTTTGGGCGAACCTTCGCTTTATATCAACCGTGTCTGACACTTGTAGAACTGTGCATTTTCGAGTTGGAAAACTGGTTTTCCATTGCACTTTTCCCAGCAGGAAGTTGGAAATTAAGATTTTTATTACGAGTTGAATGGGACATACCATAACGGTTAACTTCCGTTAAAATCAAAAGAGAATAGAAATATTGTTCAAATCCTAGTCCTATCTATAAAACACGATGGATGAATCGGCTCTAATTTTATTTAATTACATTTTGGCATTACCTCTTAAAAATGAAGGTTCCAAAAAGGTTGTTTTTCCGACAATCAGAAGTGAAAATAACACAACACAATGAATGCATAACACACGGAATTATATGTTTCCATTGATCCATTTGGTCAAAATTATGAGTAAAAAAAATATTATTCCAGCTATGCCAAGCTCTAAAATATTTTATTTAAAAATGTTTTTACAAATATATATTTTTTATTTTTTACATACAAAATATTTTAAAAAATGACTAGAATCATATATTTTTATAATGAATAATGCATACATTTCCAAGGTTTTTCCAGGTCTAGATATCACACTTTTAAAATGACACTTCCTTATTTATCCTAGACTGTGAAAATCCTGGTTCTTCTTGTTAAGGGGTTTAATTAAAATGAGATATATCTTAATTTTTAAGCCCGAAACACACTGCGTGATTTTCGGCTGTCCCAGACTAAAGATTGGCATCGTAAAACACTCGTGGTGATTTCTGTGATCGTGGCTCCTAATCTGTGCTCTTATATCGTACAGTGAGAGAGGGTCAGAGACGGCCGTTGTCACAGTCTTGCGACCAAAGATAGCCTACGATCATTTTCTGACTGTGTCAGAAATACAGCATGATCATCGCACCGTGTGTTTGCTGCTACGATCCACGTTTGCTGACCAACCAATAAAAACGCGACATGGCGCTAAAACAGAAAACTGCTTACCTCGAGCTCTCATGCCTTCCTCTTTCGCCGCTTCCACTTTTATTCAGCACACATGAAAACTACAACTGCTAAAGTGTGATTTATCATGCTCTTATGGTTTACCACTAGCGCATGCTGATGACGTTTTATTCTTCTATAGTAACGTGCATCGTAGCGTACGATTCAATAGGTGTCATCATCGTACAATCTACACGCATGTCGTAGCCGCGTTTATTAGATCCATGTGTCACAGTGTGACATGCAATGATCTTATAGCACTGCTAAAATTGTGCAGTGTGTCTCGGGCTTTGCGTAATTTTAAGCCATCTTGATTCCCTTTTGAAAGTCTTCCTGCATTTTCAATAAACAAGGCCTTTAATGGGTTAGCTTCAGCGTACCTAACTAGTCTTCTATCACGCTACAATCCATCACGCTCCCTAAGGTCGCAAAACTCTGGACTTTTGGTAGTACCTAGGATAGCAAAGTCCACTAAAGGAGGTAGAGCTTTTTCGCATTTGGCTCCCAAACTCTGGAATAGCCTTCCTGATAATGTTCGGGGTTCAGACACACTCTCTCTGTTTAAATCTAGATTAAAGACACATCTCTTTAGCCAAGAATTCACATAATGCATCTCATAATCTTGTACTGCAGTCATATCTGATCAAATGCACATTAACAGTCTTTTGCTTGGGTTGAACACATAATTTTTTGCTTGGCATCCCGAGGTAACTAGGAATTACACATGTCATTAATAACTAACTGCATGATTCTTACTGTACATTTCTGCCATATGGATATCAACACTGATAATACTACTAAACATAATGTAGAAACTTAAATTTTCTGTGAAGCTGCTTTGCAACGATTTGCATCGTGAAGAGCGCTCTACAAATAAACCTGAATTGAAAAGTGTTGTGAACCACAGTTCTAAACGAAGCTTTAGTCCTGATAAAAGCCGTATTTCTGTGACTTGTTAAAGCGCGCAGGAGACCGTACCTGTAGATACTGCGGTGAAGGTGGTGCATAAACGCAGCTGTTCATGATATACGTCCGACAGCTGAGGTCCTGTCTGCTGGCGGAGACGTTCACCTCCACTGGGCTGTAGGTGCCCATTTTCACGTTCTCCTGCCTGCAGAGGAACATCCAGCGCATGTGAGGAGCTCCATTAGTCACTTACTACTGCTACGTTTCTACATGAAGATCTCTGACTAAAAAATGCTGGGTTGTTTCAACCCAACTTTAGGTCAAATATGGACTAACCCAGCTGTTGGGTTACATTTTTACATTAACCCCTTAAGTGTCACCCCTCATTTTTGAACATACGTGAAAGTGCACTATCCAAACTTAAATTGTTATAATTCATGAACGCTTTGGAATACAGACCTAAAGTTGGACTCTTTTTTTTGTTTGTTTTTTAGTTTACTGCAAAAGTGGAATTATTTTAAAATATTAAAGTATCAAAAAGTTATAGAAGTTTAAATTTACTGTAAAGAAAATGCACGGTACTAAAATTTTTTGTTTATATAAAATAAAATGTTTTACAAAATATTTTTGAATCCAAAATTGTTATAAAATTAAAGCCTTTTGTCTAAATAAGTTACGTTCCAAATTTGAAGTTGATATAAAAAAAAAAAATTGAGGTTCCTGTGAGATTTTATTTAGAGCGTTATATCACAAACAGCCACTGGGTGGCATCAAAACTCCATTAAAAAAATGTTTTATGCATTTTTCTGTCACAAATGTCTAAATTTTTCGGTCATTGTTACTTCTATCAAAAATCTTGTGACTCAGACCTTTCCGACAATATGTATTTTATCAAGTTGATAAAAAATTGTGATTCTAAAAGACCATAATACTTTTTGTAATATGACACCACTAAAAGATTTTAAAGTACCATTTCCACGGTAATGCAATTTCCGAATTTCCGAGGTTTTAAGCTTTAATTACTAAAATATGTGATGGAGAACAAAGACAACAAAAGAAAGAGTGCCATTGGGCCCGCCGGTGATACATTTTTAACCCAAAAGTTGGGTTAGTCCATATTTGACCCAAAGTTGGGTTGAAACAACCCAGCATTTTTTAGTGTACTGTATGTGTGTGTTTGGGGTCTGAAAGCGTCCACCTGTCGAGGGACTCGAGATCCGACATGTTCATCCTCCACACGACGCCCCAAACCTCGTCCCCTGGGCTGTGTTCGATGGTCGTGACGCCGCCGCGCCAGCGCTGACTCGCCAGTCCTTTATGATTCCCGAAGACCAGTTTATAATCCTGGAGAGGAGGACCAGTCAGTTTCATGTGTAGATAGATACAGTCAAACCAAAATTTATTCAGACACCTTCAACATTTCTCACATTATCACAGTTTATTCGATACAGTTTAGAAAGTGGTAATAATATATGACGAGAACTCAGAGTTAAACTGTGTCAGAATAAATGTGAGCCTGGAGCACAAAAACAGTCATAAGTCGCTGGGGGATATTTGTAGCAATAGCCAACAATACATTGTATGGGTCAAAATTATACATTTTTCTTTTATGCCAAAAATCATTAGGATATTAAGTAAAGATCATGTTCCATGAAGATATTTTGTAAAGTTCCTACCATAAATATATCAAAACTTAATTTTTGATTAGTAATATGCATTGCTAAGAACTTCATTTGGACAACTTTGAAAGCGATTTTCTCAATATTTCGATTTTTTTACACCCTCAGATTCCAGACGGTTGAAATTTAAGTACACAATTAGATTATACCAATTTAGGTCAACCAATTACCAAGAAATGCTTAATTTCGTTCAGTCTGTGGTGCAAAAAGGTTAAAAAAGACATTAACAATTAAAGAAAAAACACTTAAGCAGAACATGGTCAGGTAAAAGTGTCAAATTTTTTATCAGTTTTACTGGTAGTCCACTGTATGAAGAATTTGAGTATAATGTCACAGTTTACTTTATTTTGCTATCCTCAATTACATAAATGGACTAGTGTCCTGCACCCACTAGTAAAAAAATATCAAAAATTATATCTGGT